TTTCAAAACATAAATCCCGGAATCGGGATCAGAATTGTAATCCCGGGATCCCGTGCAAACCCTAGTCCAAACTCTATTGACTACTGCAAGTGTTCTTCAACTTTTACGCCTGATATCCATGTATCTGATCACTCTCAACCCTCATTTTGCTTATTGCACAGTAATTCCATTATATCGTGATACTTTTCCTATTCACTCCACCCACATCACTCATTCCCTCTCATTTATCTTTCTCCGAAAAATCTGAAATTTCTCCATTTCCTTACATCGCGATTCCAATGCTGTTCGATTTCCAATGGAAATGATGCTTATAAAGTGATTCGCACTTGTGACGGCATCAGAACGAAATTTCGATTCAGTTGCAACCCGACCGAATCGACCTCTCAACATTCCGACATTCGGAATTCCAACCGAACATCAAAACTGTTCATTCCTTCGGAATCTGAATATCGGATTTCCGACCGAACGTCGGTTGAATGCCATCACTAATTCACACCTCCAAAAGACTCTGACATTTTATTCAGTGTTGAAGTCTTCCAGAAGGAGAACTCCTCAAGAGATATTCAATGATACAACTCAGTTTTCTATCCCTTCTAATTGCAGTGAGCAAAAATCTTCCACAAAACATTGACAAACTGGACGGGATTCCCATAATGATCGTAAATGGGAATGCACCAATGCCAATAGAGCTCACATAACAGGTAGGTAAAATGGCTTCGCGTCTTGCGTAACAAAAAAGTGTTCATCCTATGCCATATGGGCGATTTGCTCATTCACCATTCAGATTTAAGCTGGGATATTGTGGTGTTTATTGAGTATTCAGCAGAGAGTTAGTACAGGTATGTTTTGCATAATTAAATATATCCCACGATAGAGCGTGTGAACGATTTATCACATTTTAAATCCGAACACTTATATTCTACTTGTAACTTATCTTTGTTGGAATTCTGAGAATTATTTTGTCAGTAGTCTTATTTTGGAATACTTCTGTAATTCACTCATGTCATCAATCCAAAATTTCCCCGTTATTATTGTCACGTTCTTCATTTGTACTTACCAACGTTCCTTGTACATTCCTCCATTCTTGTATTACGTATAAACCCAGCAGAGATGTTCACTTGTTGCAATACGAGGTTACAGGCAATCGTCTTGCACTATTTATCCACACACTCATCCTACCTCGTTATCATAAATCCATTTCATATAAGAATCACAATTCAGTACATTTATTGCACATTTCGTAGCGACATATTCACATGCTTATGAAGTGTATATGAATGAAATAAATAAATTTCGATATAATACCTTAAATTAGTGCTAAAACATAGTTATACTTATCATTGCTAACAAGTGTAACTGTAAGTTCACATTCGAAGACAGAAGCGTTCTCATTCATCATAATCGAGCGAGTTGTTCGAACTCGATAAAATTCCGTTACATATATTGACGAACATTTCTCAATTGTACATTTGGTAGCAGTGGAATGGTTGCATTGAATATTGATGCATTCTTTGATGTGCATACCGATCTATTTATTCAGTTCTCATTAACATTCATTAACGTGTTTGTCAAATGCAGTTCGTACACCTGAAATAACATTTCGTTTATGTGATGAAGAAACTTTTTTTTAATGATTCTAGTTACCCTTAATTAGAAATTATCATTTTAATGTTGAAATCACCCGAATACTGCGATATCCCATCTCCATCTCATTGTCAGTGAGATTTTTCAAACAAATTCGCCATTTTTGCGCCCTTCCAATAGCGATATATAACATTTTTGAATGTGTACAACGTTGCCATTCCAACACGTTTATAACGCAACACGTAGTTCTCTCTGCCCCTGTCTCTCCTTACCACTGTTGCATCCGTATATGTAATCGTTACAGTAGTTCGCGTACGTTCTACTAACCAACAAAAGTATCTATCCTACATCCAACACCGATGTGTCTTTAAATTTCTCTTAACCAGAGATGCATTCCATGTGTACCATGCTGTACAATGTGTTTCGGTACCATGCTGCGCAAGTGGACGTTTTATCGTGGTCTTGAGCAGTTAGGCAGACTCTTATAATTATTTTCACACCATCCAGCATTGTTCATTCGAAGCGATTATTTTCCGAATTTTGTTTTCCAAAATGGTTTGAGATTCTCCTTGGTAATAAAGTGATGTTATCGTTGTGATCAAGGTTTCCTAGTCCTCTTGTTATTAATTCACGACGCCGTCCAGCTTTGTTGCAGTATATCAATTTGGATATAATTCGGTGAAAGAGTTGCATGCTTAACGCGTTTATTCATTTACTTTTTCTAATGCATTTCGACTGGCTGTGCAGTTAGCGTTAATTTTCAAACAATCTATACAACATGTTATACAGTTTTGACGACTTTGTTGAACGTTTTCTTTCGTCTAGCCATTCGATCTGTGGCATACGAATAATTTTGAATCTGAGGTGATCGCCGAAAACACCAGGTTTGTAGTTAATATGGTAACGATTACACCAAAGCTTTGCAGTGCCGGAGATGGATCGATTGTGTGTGCTCATTGTAACACTGTTGGCGTCATTGGCAGCATTTTCATGCTTCGACACTTTCAAAGTTGAGGCCCACAGCCATGCTGATCATAATGTAGAACCAGCTGCTTACAAGTACAGTCGAGAAGCTAATGAAGCAGTCAGTTCATCTTTGTTAATTCGATTCGCCACTTTAAAGGGTTCCGATCGATCTTCGTATCATTCACTACCATGAGATCGTGAATTTGACCATTTCCAGTCGTAGCTGACCATGAAGGGGAATGTGTAATGATTGTTTGGCTGCCAATATCTCAAGTTCGGGTCTCACAATAAGATTATGCGCCTTAATGTGAGCCGAACTAAAGACCTAGCATTGAGTCCGTTAATAATTTAGCTGTGGTTTCAACGAGGAGGATGTGCATGATTTCAATTTAGTTCTTTTTAAGTGATGAGCAGTAATCTGTAATCTTATAATGCCTGACAAGTATTGTATAAATATTAGTGGGAAATGTTTATTCATGTTACAGGCCGCATGGAATAAAGACAACGATCACCATCATACGCACTCACACGGGGAGCAACAGAAGCATACACATGGAATAGTTAGTATTCGTTGAAATCATCTTTTTTTGTTGTTTGAAATCCTTCTCAGATTATTTGCGATCAGTTTGCGAGCGAAAAGTGTTTGATTATGGAATGGAAAGATGTGGCGTGAAGGATAGATCTGTTAGAGTGTTTGTGCCCGAAGAATATCAACCCTAACATCCTAAATTTTTGCTGAATATCTTTGCAGGATCACGATCATGGACATTCGCATGAAGAGTCGGATTTTACACACGAAGGATCCACTGACAGTCATCACCAACATGTAGGATAGTCTTTAATACGTCTGAATGAATTATATTCTCTGTCTAATCACATTCTATTGCTGAATCGGAAATCGAATTGATCAGAATAATCCGAATCGAATCTGAGGTTCCTCCTGAGCGGTATTGCCGATTCCATATTTTAATGGACTCCTCGGCTCATTTTGTGTATTCACGTGTACCATCCGAATGCATCCGTTCTTAGAGTGAGGTTTCACTTCACGTGAAAACCGAATGAAAGAGTCGTATCATCATCCAGACGTTAACTCACATCTTCAATCCAATCGTACCCATCTTTGCCACGATAATCTTGCATCGCTAAACAAATCCCACTGCACTTTGTTATTGGTTGTGTGTTATTGTTTCGTTCTGTAGATAATTTATGGTTATAACTAACAAAAGTTGGTTCTACTTGAACGAGTGGAGGTTGTATTCGGTTGATCGTGATGCTTTGCAAGTTTATTAGTATTTTCATTTAGATCTCAGTCCAAAAAAATCCGAATTTGGTCATTTCGATTGCTGACGCAGATTCGTAAGTGAGAAACGAACGAATAATGCCATGAAAATATTTAAATAAAATGAATTAAGTGTAAACATGAATGTTTTCAGATCAATGTTGATTTGGATCCGTTGCATGATTTGCATGATGAGCACGCACATAGTCATGGCGGTAAATATGCGCCTCGTGTTAGTAGGATATTATTTTTTAATTACTGAACACTCGTTTATATTCAGTTACAGCCTTCGTTCAGTTGTTTCGTTAGTTTTCTCATTCAGTGGTTTGCATGCCATTTTATTTGGATTATTTTGTTTGGATGCATCTCATAATTTTACTTAAATGCACAAATATAGTGACTTGCAACACTGTTGAATGTGATTTAGTTGTTGTGATGGAATGGAAATGAGTCAGAAGAGCAAGGTGTATCAGCTGTACAAGTTGTCTTTTCAGTGCATCATGAGCAAAATTTATTAACACAGCAATTTTTCAGTGGAATTATTGCTTCACGAATACACCAGAAATATTGTTCAAAGATTTTTTTGTGGCATTAATGAGTTTTCTAATCGTTCAGTTGCTGGAATGCAATTTTTAAAAATTAAATTTAAGTGCATGTCAGTTTGACGCCGTCGTTGTTTTAGTGTTATTTTTATTAACAGGAATGATACTGATATAAATAATGTGGATTCATCACTTCAAAGTTCAATTAGTTTCAAACTGACAATGCTTTCGTTTCCATTTTAGTCTCATGATGAAGGACACATACATAGTCACAGCACTTCCGACTCAGGTGAACACCTCCACGACCACTCTCATGATTCACACGCACATCCTAACCATGTAAATTTTCATTTTTAATAATATCATTTGAAGTGGAACATCGACGGTTTTTTTGAGTTACAGTAGTTTTCGTTAAAAAATCGAAATGTTGCCATTCATTTTCAGTGATTAGAATGAGTTCATTCATTTTCATCGAAGCAGTGAGAGTATTTTTCTTGTTTCCGATTAAGATGTGAACTGAGCGGTTGAACCAATTTTAGATGTTCGTTTCATACGTTTGATTTCGCGTTCAGTTACGTCATGTAATCAAAACTGCAGTGTGCTTCACCAATGAGTTTGGTTAATGTTCCTTCATGCAGTTATTCTATTCAGATTCATGATCATTCGCATGGCGATGCAAAGAAACCGGGTGTGTCTGGAGGTCAATTGAAAAATGAATATACTTACGATCCGAAAGGGTTTGTTGTTTAATTCACTGGATATATTGCTTTTTTTGAAGCCGATTGTTGAGTGATGATATTCAGTAGTGTATTCATGATACAGCCTTTTGCTGGTTCAGTTGTTATCGATATCAAAAGGAAATATATCAAATTGTTTTGTGTCATTCGTTTGAGCAATGTAATTTCATACTGAATTTCGATTGACATGCTGTGTGGCTAAGGTTAATTATTGCATTAAATTTCTCACTGTTCAAAGTGCATCACTTAAATCATGCGCTTTTTTATTAATCCAAGCATTGCTTGCATTTTACAGTTATTTACGATTTATGAATGATCCTTACACGAGACTTTGGGTGCACAGTATCGGCTCTACGATTATCATCAGTATCGCACCATTCATTTTGCTGTCTGTGATTCCTATTCAGGTTTGTTGTTTTTGGAAATTTCTTTATTATTTTTAGTGGTGATTTATCAATTGCAGTTATTTCATTTATGATATTCGGAGGGAACTGTTCATTGTTGATGTGTTGAAGTGGTGTATCATGAACAATATGGGAATTTCCAGGCGAATACAGCCGAAAATGAGCCATTATTGAAAGTTTTGCTAAGTTTCGGTTCGGGTGGTCTACTAGGTGATGCGTTTCTGCATTTGATACCTCATGCTCAACCAGCAAGCAGCGACACACATCACTCACACTCGCATTCTCATTCTCATGGTCATGAAGGTCATTCGCATGGACCACACGATATGAGTGTTGGTGCATACGTTCTGGCTGGTAAGCGCTATAAGTAATTATCTTTATGCGTATACATCTTTCATAGTTTCGTTACTTCCGGTTGTTTCGATATCTTATTATCCATAGCTCATTTGTTTGCTTATTTTCTTTTGATAGTAGACACTCATTGTTAGTGCTCTCAAAGAATAAACTGAAGGTTGTTCTCTTTTTTGCTGAAGCAGAAATAAAACGAATTGCACTGATCATGAAAGGGAGAGTAATACCATCATTTTGAGGTATAATCGTATTCCTGACAGTCGAAAAATTGGTTCGAATTTTCCGGGGTGCGGGCGATGCCCATGGACATTCACATTCGCAGGCGCATTCTCAAAAAGGACATTCTCGTTCAAGGAAGGGCAGTAAAACAATTCGCAACACTAACAAAGCCAAAAAATCAGATGCGTCTTCTGCTGAAGAAGTAAGTTCAGTGAGTATCGTCACATTTGGTAATTAATATCATCATGCATTGTGTGCTTATTCAGGCGACAATACAGGCAAATAATGAGACTTTCCAAAATCATTTTGCGAAAATTGATTTAGATCTTATTTTTCAATGCATGTTTTTTTTTNTTTTTTTTTCTACTTATTTCGTGATGGCGATGTTTCTAAAGACTTAGTTTGCAGAGCAGCTGTGATGAAAGTGAGCGAAAGGAATTGATCAAGCACCAGTCTCAAACAGGATTCAAGGTGGCCGCATACTTAAATATGGCTGCCGATTTCACACACAACTTCACAGATGGTCTTGCAATAGGAGCATCGTATTTGGCTGGAACAACTGTTGGATTAGTGACAATGATTACAGTTTTGGTGCACGAGGTACCACATGAAATTGGTGATTTCGCTATACTCGTTCAATCAGGTTTCTCAAAACGAAGAGTACGTTTTTCGCTCTTCCATAAGTTCTTTTTCCAAGAAGCTTTATCTTTGAGAATAAAGTTGTTGGAAATCGAAAGCAGATTTATTTGATAACTTGTATTCAACTAGGAAAATATCGAAAGAAATCAAAATATGAATAATTTGTAATATGAAGAAGTGTTTCTTTATATTCTGTGAATGGTCGTTCAATTCGATCAACAGTTTTTAGTGCCTGCAATACTCTGTGCGGAAAAAAAAGTAAACTCTTTGTTCTTTTCAGTGCTGTAAATATTTTGTGTTTCATATATCTCGTCTTTACGGGTGGATTGTTTTGATATCAGGTTCGTTGACTGTTCATCACTTAATTCGCCAGTTTGCAGGCAATGTGTGTACAACTTCTGACTGCAGTCGGTGCCATTTCTGGATGTGTTCTCTCACTTCTGACGGCTGATGCACAAAACATCACAGAAGCGGCTGCAGCCAGTTGGGTATGTTCTTAAGGTTTACTCATTTATTCTTGCTGATCCTTTACATTAAGTAAAATGCAGCTCAAATTATGCACATCTGCTTCCGAATATGAACGTTTACGAACTTAGTACATTCACCTTCACCATCTCTCGTCCTCTGCTTACACATACAACGGAGATGTTCCCAAGCGATGCAAATAATCGATAGCTGTAGTTTATGTATTCGTTTTCAATTTTCCAGATAATCCATCTCTTTCCTGGACTTTACAATTTTGTGATTCGATTCTTTTTCAATTTTGTTACCTTTTTCCATATACCTTTCGGTTCTTCATTATTTGTCGCATGTTTTTGGTTCTTTTTTCGTTGATCTTATTCATTTTCCAGGTTTTACCTTTCACCGCGGGTGGTTTCATCTACATAGCAACTGTGTCCGTGATACCGGAATTATTGGAGAATTCATCGCCTTGGCAAAGTGTAAAAGAAATTACTGCCCTTCTAACGGGTATCGCACTCATGTATATGATCGCAATCTTCGAATGATGTGTTTCGAGAACTTTTATTCGATTTTAATGAGCATTACTGATTATCCTTTCAAATTTATTTACGACTCATTTAGTCGTTCATGTCGCTGACATTGTGCTGTTTCACTGCTGATAACATTAAAAACTACAGCAAGTCATTATTTATGTTGATACAGTGATTCAATTCAGTAACGTTGAATTAAAAGAAACTTCATTTGTACGTCTTCAACGTAATGCACTTCACACTTACTTGATGTACGGCAGCTCTTAACGATCATATTCTACGGTTATCGTCCTGAGTATAATTCGTTATAATCGCTCGATAAGTCTGTCATTCTTTCTCAAAGCATTAGCTTATTTATTAAATGATTTTGTATGTTTGCATTCAAAAACATTGATCAACTTAATTTATATTTATTTTATTTAGAGATTTGAGTTTGAATCTCAATTTTCACATGTGAGTAAACTTATTGTGATATGATTTCAGTACTTATTTTCAATTGTTCATTTTGAATATTTGTACGGTTAGGTCATTTGCTATCTTCTGAAGTTGTTATTTGTAACAAATATTGTTTTTTCTCATACGTTTTATTGTCTTTTTTGGCCGTAGGCAAATCATTTCTTTTCACTTTTCAAGAATGATGATTCATCAGTTTCATATGTTTCGTTTTTCTACTTAACACTTTCTTGTCACTGTAAATTTGTGTTTCAATCGGCAAAAACGTTTATTCGCATCTGCACATTGCTACAACTCAAAAAAGAAGAGATTTAATTGTACTATTTCTCCGCGCGAATGCGTTTCTCTGTTGAAGCACATCTGTCGCCTTCAGTGCTGTTGTCCATTTTTATGTACTGACGATAATTTAAATTCATAGAAGCAAAATCTCTAAGATCGTTGGTGACTGTGACGAATAGTGTCGTTGCAATGCTGTGCATGATTCACATTTTGTAACGCTGAATAAATATGTTGATCGGGATACATTTCTTTGCTCGATTCAGTTGTTTAACTTCATTCGCAATGCGATTATCCGAATCAATCGCAAGTTAATCTCAGAGTCACTGTTTGCGAGATCATAGTTCATAATCAGTTTCTATCATCTTTGAATGCTGATATATTAGGTGACTGAAGGAAATTTGTTTCATCATGTTGACCATCGCGATTCGTATTTATGACAATGTTCTGTAGTTATTGCGCGCTTCAGTGGCAGATCGGATTCGCTGTATAGAACGGTGTTTGTTGATTGTGTGTCTGCATGATAAGTGATGAAGTGAAATAAATGGTTGATTGTAGTAGTGTAAGAAGGGAAAGCGATTAATGCACCAGCATTCAGCTCTGTGACACAATGCAAGCGTTCCTGACCTCTAACTCTTCGTTGGGCACGAAGCAGTCATCAGTAGTATCTACGAAAAAGAAACATCAAGTGGCCAACGCAATAGTTCCTTGGGTTGAAAAATAGTAATTTTTTTACTCTAATCAATCAGTCGAATTAGTGGTCTTTTTCTGAGCTTGAATTATAAATGATTCAATTAAACGGTGGAATTGATAATGCGATCTAACCTCGAATTTGATGATTATGAATGCATTCCCTATATCGTGAATACCTGTAACGAATGAATGTTATCGTTTAGTCGCCCAAGGAAAGTTGACGATATCGTTTTCCAAGATGAAGTCGTTTCCGTTCTCAAAAAGGTTCTCAGTGGAGCGGATGTAAGTCTATTTTTGTATTCCTCTGAAATAGGCAAATGTTTTTTTGTTGATTTGCAACTCTGAGTTTAGCTTGTAAATTACTGAAAAAAATAACGACAACAGAAGTGATGAAAGCGGAGAGCTGATGATTTGTTGATTTATTGAAAGGTGAGAGCAAGTGTGAGCTTCTGTTCAGTCAGTGCGTTTACAAGAGGAGAATTTCGGCAGCTTAGGGAAACTTGCACGAGATATTTTATGTTACGGATGAATGCTTTTAAAATCGTCAACATGGATCTTTCGTGCAGTTAATATTTCCCCTGTCGTGACATGTGCAAATGCAGCAGTTTTAGCATAACACAAGAATCGTCAAAACTGAAGTTTTATCGTAAGTTAGCCTTAGCTTAAGATTAGGTTTATGTTGATGCTCCGTTGCTTTGCCTAATGCCCCCAACCGCATTTTCAACGACAGCAAACTTTGAAGGAGCTTTATTTATTGATGCAGCTAGATGTTCGCTCACATCTATAACTGTTTTGAAACGATAGATTCATGAGGGATTCGTCAATATGAGATCTGCATTCTGAGATTAGGTTTTAGCTGAAAGCATATCATCTACACGCTCACATAGTGTTTTGATAGGTTGTTTGATAGGAGCGTGTAATTGAGTATTTTGTAGTTACCGAACTTGCTCTTCTATGGACCACCGGGCACTGGCAAAACATCAGCAGCAGTTGCGCTATGTCGGGAATTGTTCAAGTCACACGACGTTTACTGCGATCGGGTGCTTGAAATGAATGCCTCTGATGAAAGAGGTATCAACGTCGTACGAACTAGGGTAAGTCTTTTTGCATCTTTTCCTTGTCTACCGCTTAAAAACATTCACATTCATTATTTCTGACTTCTTTGGGCTGTCTTTCACAAAGAATATCAATTTGTCGATTGCTCACGAAGTAATTAATGCTCGTTATGTCCATCTCCTCTCACTTCCCCCACTCAAATCTAATCGTTCCTAAATAATCGTTTACAGATCAAAGAATTCGCAAGACGCGCTGTTTCTTCACATACACCTGATGGAAGTCCAGTCGTTGGGTTGAAGGTGAAATCTTATGTTCCTTTAAACGATAGCTTTATGAAGGATTCGTCAATATGAGATCTGCATTCTGAGATTAGATTTGAGCTGAAAGCATATCATCTAAAGCGTCTTGAAAGTGATTGAAGGTGATAATATTGGATGAAGCGGATGCTATGACAAACGCAGCGCAAGCAGCATTAAGAAGGACGATGGAGAAGGAATCGCGCACGACACGATTCTTTCTGATTTGTAATTATATGTCAAGAATTATTCCACCACTCACTTCGAGATGTGCAAAATTTCGCTTCAAACCACTTTCTGCTGATAGTCAAACCGAGAGGTGAAGTAGTAGTCCACATCTCATTTTATCTTATATTCTTGAAGCGTAATGTAATATGAAGCACTGGGAACTTTTGCTGAACCGAGTGATTTGTCATTATTCCTACAAAATTGTCTCGAATTATTCTTTTAATGGATCCCTCCCGTCGGGCCCCACTGCCTTCCAAGGTCGCATCTTTCTCACCGCTTCAGAAAAGGCTTCTTCTAGCTCTGGACTACCCACTCGCTCTCTTTCCTGGTAGTTTCTCCTCTGCTCATCCTTCCAACGTCGTCCCAACTGCATATTAACTGCAAAACTCATTAATAAATGTAACATTTCTTAAATATTTTAGACTGGAATATATTTGTGGCAAGGAGAATGTCGATTATGAGCCAGCCGCGTTGACTGAATTAATCGACATATGTGGTGGTGATTTACGTAGAAGTATCACTTATCTACAGGTGTTGCAGAAATTTCGTATAGTTTCAGTTTTGGAATATTCGATTCATTTGATATTGTTAATTTTCGTCATTTTCTTTGGCAAATCATTTCGTTTTCATTCGCGAATTTCAGACAATTTCATCATGTCATAGTAAGCTGACGCCATCGGATGTACGCGAACTATCTGGTGCCGTGCCTGATGAGATTGTGAATGGGTTAATTGATGTATGTGAACGAGTGAATTTCGACGAAATGCTCGCTTATGTTGATCGTTTAAGACGAAACGGATATGGGATCTATCAGTTGATAACCCAGCTGTTCTCACTGATCCTTGCCAATCTGCGATTACTCGACACACAAAAAGCAATCATTTTCGAGAA